AATACTGTATTTCCAGGGTGTATTTACCAGAACTGGCCACTAAAAGGAAGCCAGAGCTCATGCAATGTGTAGTGTTCAATAGTTTGTGTTTTCCAGCATCCTGGGAGAGCTTGGACTGGTCCTATGTGGGTACCACAGTCCTCTTACCATACCAGGCCCTTCCACACTAACCTGGTCTATTCAAGACGTGTTGGGTGCTGGCATTGTGGTTTGTAGACCAACACATTCAGAGGGCACGAGGTTGGAGGAAATAATGCCAGAGGTAGAGCCACCCTTAATGGGATACAAGTGGTGTGTCATTAAACGAAGTAAACGTGTTTTTGAAGATTCCCATTGAGACAGAGCAGCTTTTAGAAACATTAGCAAATGAGATGATGCTTGCGATTTCTCTCTAGATGTCATGGTTGAGTCACCTGATGAACAGTCCATTATGACTTACGTGGCACAATTTTTGGAACATTTCCCAGAACTGGAAGGGGTATGTGTTTTCATTTACTTCACTTAATTTCCCCCGACTATAGGGTGTTTATGTTGTATCAATCTTAGTGATTACAGTATTTGCAGTCAAGCCATTTAGAAACTAAGACAGGCTGATCTACACTTTCTTCTCTTCTCGCAGTATTCTTCCCCCGTTTGCCAGCTAAGAGTTTTAATTTTATTTGACATTTAAAACTGCCCTTAGGAAAGCTCTGAGACATACTAAAAATATGACTTAGCCTATCCTAGGAGCAGTGGTGAAGTGACAAATTCTGAAATTCCAACAAGAACTCTCTGCCGAGGAGAGTCCAAGAATATAGGCTGATACTTTGCTCAATAGCAAAAACAAACAAACTAACTTAAAAAACACAACAGTTCTTGCCTTTTTCATCTCTACCACAAGCAGGTCTTTTGTAAAGCTAGTGATTCTTAACTGCTCATTCAAGAATAAGCCACGCTGAAATAGTATTACAGGATAGCTCAAAATAATCTATTGTTGCTGGGAACATTGTCTTTTCTTTCTACTATGGGAATTACAACCCAAATTAAGAGCAACGAGGATAAAGGGCTACAGTGTTAGGATGCCATTGTCCTTTGCCAGTCGATAAATCCTGCCACTTCACCCCTATGTTTTACATGTAGAAAATTCCTAGTTCAGTTTCTCATCTCTCCAGCTAAAAATACATAAAGAAGTAGCTCGTAGGAAAAAACTGCCCGGGACCCTGGAAATGTGCTTCCATTTATGGCAGACAACATTGACACAGATGATGAATTGTAGGGGTCTTCCTTCCCTCCTTCCCCCCCTCCCTCCCATCCCCTTCTTCTTCTGCTTCTTCAAATCTCAGAATTCTGCAAGAATTCCACAGAATTCCAAGGAGAATGACTGGAGCTGCCTTCTATGCCTTTAAAACCTGCTCCTGTGATTCCTGGGAGGAAGCTAGGAAGCTACAGCATCCTCCAGATGAGTGGAATCAAGGTGTTTGCAGAAGAGGAATGTGTTTTTTTGGACTGGAAATCTCAGAATTCTGGCAGGGAAATTCTTGCAGAATTCTGGGACTTAAAGTCCAGAAAACATAAACGGCGCTTTCTTTGGCTGGCCTATAAGGCAGCATCCTATTCCTCTTTGACTTCCTACTTCTTCACAATATACAGCATCACCATCACCACCCAGTTCCCTTCCTTTGTCCTCTTGAATAAGTTGGACTCTTCCCCAGTACCTCAGTTGCCAAGCAGGTACGTATTTGTATGAGAGACTTCCAAGGGTCTCCAGTTAGGGCTAGAAAAGAATCCTGTCCCAAATGCTGACACGTGACTGCCAGTAAGAGTAGATAATATTGGTGAGATGAACCAACGCTTTGACTCCTTACAAGCAGCTGCCTACATTCTCGTTTCTCTTTTCCCTTTAATGTGTTCCTCTAACCCAGTGGTTCCCAACCTTGGGTCCCCAGACATTTTTGGACTGCAACTCCCAGAAGCCCTAGCCAGTACAGTAGGCATCCTTCAGTCTCAAGAGACTATGGTAACGTGCTCTGAACAGAGGTCTTGGAACAGCGTCTAGTGTGGCTGAGAAGGCCAATTCGAGATTGACAATCTCTTCCACACCGAAGGCAACTACAATCTGTCCCCTGTCCAGCTCCCTGATTTTGCTGCTTTTGTGACTTCCTCTTTGCCTCAGCCTGCTGGACAAGGGTCTCTTCAAAATGGGAGAGGCCATGATGCACTGCCTGCCTCCAGGCTGAACGCTCATATGTCAAGGTTTCCCATATGTTGATGTGCAGCCAGCGCAGCTAGTGGTGAAGGCTTCTGGGAATTGCAACCCAAGAACATCTGGGGACCCAGGGTTGGGAACCACTGCTCTGAGTGATAAAGGGCTGAAGAAAATGTCAGGACTTTATAAGGCATCGTAGGGGGTCCTAATTCTGGCTATGGAGATGAGGAGACCACATGAGTGTTTGGCTGCCACTACGACCTAATACAGAACGTACAAAATGCTGCTAATGGCTAGTTTTGTGGGGGGTATAACATGTCAGAGTGTGGCTGTTGTAGGCCCTGTTTATATTTTCACACTTAAATACAGCAGTCAAACTGTAAAGACACAGGCCTTCTATTTGGCTTCCGTTTTCTGTGGACTACAGTCCACAGACATTTCTGCCAGATTATAATGTCTTCGTTTTTTAAATTATATAACATTAGATTTTGCTGCTAACCTGGTTACCCTTCTCCTACCAGGACTTAAAAATATACATGCATGTGCGTGCAGCTCCTACCAGGACTTAAAAATATACATGCACGTGCGTGCACGCGCGCATACACATACACAGAGAGAGAGAGCGTAGCCTGTGTCATGTATTTTTAGAAGTTTTAGGAAACAACTGGAGTATCCCAACATGACATGAGAAGTAAAATTGGAATTTCCCTTTTAAAAAGCCAAAAATTACATATACACACTTTTTAAGCACATGGGAATGAGTGATATAATACCGTAAAAAGTCCCTTCTTAGAATAGAGAAAGTTAAATCCAGGAGTAAAGCCCACCTACCCACCCACTCCAGCAGCAGTATTGGAACCCAACCATGGGGTAGCCAGCCCACACTAGTTCCGGTCAACCCTGTGATCTAGAGAACAAACAACACACCTCCACTCTCCCAAATCAGAGCCATTTAGAGGTGCCCTTGTGATGTTGAATTCCCAGACTCTAATCCAGTCTCGGTCAGTTGTAACTGAATCACTTAATTTGTTTGTACAGAACTTCCTATTTATGGAGAGTGCTGATCATTATTATTAGCTTAGCTTGATGGCAGGATGGAATAATTGCTACAGCTTGTTTGCTATCAAGCGCAGTTGGAGGTGCCTATTTCTTGGAAAGGACTGCCTTCTCTTGTATTAATCTGCCTGGGCAATAAGTAAAGATCTTCAAAGGTGGCCCTTGTATAAGAAAAAGGATTGTTTATGATCAACAAGATTATTTTTTTAAGTGGTTGAAATAATTTTGTTGGAATGATAATTAGATTTTAAGGGTTTTTTTTAGAAATTACAGAATGTTTATGCGCAGTGCACTATCCTGAAATCCTCTCTGGAGTGAAGGTGCAGTTTATAGCATTTGGAATGAATATTTGTGTCCATCTGTCCTATTTGTGATTGTCTATTATTTTATATAATGTCATACAGGAGGATTTTTCGGATCCAGACAAGGAGTTTCTGGCTGAAACTACTTACGCCCATATGACTGAAACACCCAGGGAAGAGAAAGAAAGGAAGGTTTTAATTCTGAGTGAAAATGGGGAATACACCCATACTGGTCATCTAGACAGAAGCCAGTCACCACCTCCAAAAGTTCATATTCTTGGAGATCAGGAGAAGCAACATTTTCACATGGCAAATGAAGAACTTGGTAACCATTTGGACCAGTCATTATCTGATCATTCAGAGACACTGACAGAACAACCCAAGAGACCTAGCTCCTTGCCAATAACAGAACCTGCTGGTTTACAGACCAGTTCTACCACTGATGTTTTTGCCAAAAACGTGAATGGATCTGAAAGGAATCAACAAAGCACGAGTGATCAATCAAAGGAGAGTGATGACCTTCCTCCAGCCATGCTTATGTACCGCAGACATTCTGTGGATCAGATTGACTCTCAGGACTTTACTGGGCCCAAGCCATCCAGTGAAACAAAAGGGTCACCAGAGAGGAGGACTCGATCTTTACCATGGACTTCACGTCCACATAAAAGTGTACCTCAGCCTCTGACGAAAGAACTTGGATATCCGGTTCCAGATTCTCAAGAAGAAGAGGAAGCTCATAAATATATATTGGAAATCTTGCACCAGGAAATAGCTAAGCTTCCGGAAAAATGCAAGGAAGCAGAGCACACTTTGGGGGGAAAGGAAGTGCATGCTACTGATCAGAAAATGGATGGGTCTGATTCCAGGGATACTTTTGAAGCCTCTTGTCCATCTGAACATTTATCCTTTCCAGTCAGAAACACTCCCAAGAGTCTGAATATTACCAATGAAGATGGGCCCAAGGCTACGGCGATGCCAAATTCTTCGAAAGTTTCTGTAATTCCACATGACCTTTTCTATTATCCTCACTATGATGTTCCCATATCAGCAGTGTTGGATGCCTTTGCTAACCCAAGCCCAGACTTAGATCCAGACCCTTCCCTTGAAGAAAACAACAAAATCTGCACCAAGCTCCTAGCGAATTGTTTAGCTGAAAAAGAGCCCGTTGAGCAGTCAGGTCCAAACACCAACGGGAAGGCTACGCCAGCAGGCACGGAAGGCCTGGAAAAGCAGACAAAAGACACTCATAAAAAGTCTTCCAATAACAAGTCGGCTGTGGTAGGAAAGGATATGGAGCCTAAAGCAAACAGCCATCCTGCCTCTGCTCAGAAGGATTCTACTCATCCAGATATCCCTGTGGTAAAGCTTGTGGTTTTGTTTTGTTTTTTGTTATTTTTTGTTGTTGTTGTTTTGCATTTACATGTCTGCTCCCTAACATATAAACTTACATTGCACGGTGTTCAAATAATTGCTAAGAGAAGCTTATACCCACCCACCCCAGATTGTTCTCATTCTGTTGGGACACTCTGTTTTCTGCTAACTTGAAGGAATCGCCGTGTTTGATTGAATCTGTGAGCCTGGTGCTATTATCAGAATATACGTTTCCTTGGGCGACTCAGATAAAAATCTGCACAAGCAGACCCATTGACAGGAGTAGCCCAGACTGGATTCTACACAATCTGTACAAATAAGAACACAGTACCTATATCCTCTTGCCAGGTTGTATTCTCCCCTAGCTACTGTTGTAGTTGCCCAAAGTAGCATAGGTGGGAAGCAGTTTTTAAGACTACAATTTCCAGAATTCTGTATCTAGCATGGCCACTGCCATGCTACTTATGGGTTTCCATGAGTAGTACTTAGAAACGTGAAGGCTCCATAAAAGTGGGCTGGGGGGACAGAAAAAAAATCCTGCTTTTTTCATCCTTTTGTAAGGCAAATTCTCTTTCTCTCCCTCCCCCGAAGTGGAGGCATCAAATCCAAGATGCATTTTTATAGCTAGTGGGTTTTGTCCATTTTCTTCAGAGAAGCATATGGGGGACTTGCTTTCTTGTAGGTTACAACACATATATGCTGCCGCAGTTTGGAAATTTCTCATAAGTAGACACCATATTCACAGTTTTTCTTGTCATGACTAAAGCTTTATGTTTTTTATTTTTCATTAACATTACAGATAGTTCGGTTCTACATGCTCAGCTGAGTTAGGAATGAAAAGTTTGTTTGATATAAAAATGAGTATTGCATATAGTCCAGTTCTCGTATTCCAAATTTGTGTTATTCCCCCCTCCCCTGGGGTAAAAAAAAGAGCTTTTTGCATAGCTTCAACATTTTTAGGATTGTACGTCTCTTAATTACAGTCCCAACAAGTAATATTTTCTGTCTCTGCATAGGGGTATTATCAGCATTGGGCAAATGCTTAATTTGGTCTACACTGGGCTGACCTGAAATACTGTCCCTTGGTTACCTCTGTGGCCAGAATTCTACTGGTTTTTGTGTAAGGTCTGCATAGCTTGCTGTGGCTAATTGTTGAGGTATTGGAGCATATCCCATTTACATGCACAGTCATGCTCCCAGTAGTGCAATTGAAATATGCTGCAGACCTTGTCAGCTAGCTGCAGCAGATTTATGCAAACACCAGTAGACACTAGTCTGCATATATAATGGTCAGTGTCTGAAATTTGATTGCTATATACAAGGTTTGGGACCTATGGGATATATTTATTTATTTATTTATTTTATTTATATCCCGCCTATCTAGTCGCGAAGGACTACTCTAGGCGGCTTACAACAAAGTTAAAATACAATAAAAATAAAACAACAGCAAACATGGTTTGCTGTTGATGGCAACCATGAGTATATGTCATTCAAGAGGCAAAATGTGTAGAGCAGGGATAGGTAACTTATCACCCTGTAGATTTTGGGCTGAAGCTCCGATGATTCTTCACACATGGTTAGGATGTCTGATGGGAGTTGTATTCTAGTGGTATTTGGAATAGGACACGTTATGTACATCTGGCATAGACAGCAGTATATCCATGCCTCTGGACATAATTCCAGTGGGTTGCAGCTACCTCCAATGTCCTTGTATCAGTATGGCTGGAGAAGCTTGATCATTGCACTTGATCATTGACCTTGATCATTGCACTCCCAGGTGGGCTGGTCCCAGGGAGTGCTACGTAGAGCTGTGTCAGAGAGTCAGGCAAATCAGTTGTGGGAGAGAGCTGAAGTTAAATACCTACACACCTATAGGGAAACAACAAATAAATAAGCATAGTGGGTGCACCAAAGAGTAGAAGAAAAGCTGTGTTGGGACCTGGGCTTCTGATGAACTTTTGCAAAATCTACATTATTAAAAGTGCTTTTTAATTTTTCTTGGAATAGATTGTAGTAAACCAATTTGATAGAACAGCTGAAGAAAGAAAGCTGTCAGAAGAAAGAAGTAAAAAGAAAGAAAAAAGGAAGAATAGAGCAATTGTCCAAGGAGAAAACACTCAGAACCCAAAAATTGGCTCTACCCGGTTATTCGATAAGCCAGAAGAGGAACCTACAGACCATCAGGGACCTTCAAGGTGCTTTCTGCTTCTTTGCTTCTTAACCACAAAACCTGTCTTGCCACTTTCCTTGTCCAGTTTCCAAGCAAAGCTTATTTATCTGACACATCCCATATTTCATGGGCCTTTTTGGCTCCAATCCTGGACAGCCGCTGCACAGGCGGAGGAGAAGTGCTCAAGTGGCCAGATACATTTGGGAAGAACGGTATCTGGCCAGAATGTAAGCAGTTTTTGCATCCTACTTTTTTCAGCAGAAGAGATTTAATTGCATCCGTCTGTAACTCTTCCAGTGAATTCACTGGGCCTCCAAAGTGCTTATGTTGTAACAGCAGCAGATCACCCAGCACGATCTACAAACTGCTGCACTTTTAAAACCTCCAAAATACTCCTTAATGCACATGTGTTTCCTTCTTTCTCCAGTGACTTCATTGTAGCTTTCCAGGATGGAGGTTTTTGTCTTTTTGTAAGAAATGTAGCAGTCTTGTGAAGGGCAGGAGGTAGAACTTGTTCAACTGCTACAGACCTGGGCAACTTAATGACCTGGCAAGGTAAATGCAGTGTTGCGGACTGCCAGCACCTCAGCAACCAGAGATTTTTCAAGGTTTTCTGGTGGGGTGCCATTTCTGACTTAATGTAAAAATGTAAGAAGAGCCTGTTGTGTCAGACTAACAACCTATTTAGAGCAACCTTATTTTCACACGGTTGCCCAAGCAGAGGCCTACAAAAAGCCCGGTAATATTGTTTGAATGCAACCATGTCCTCCATCTCAGGCTCTCTAGCAGTTGATCTACATGCTACCTCTGGTACTGGACTTTGAAGGCTGTGTTAGACCATCTCAACTAACAATATGGGCAAGAGAAAATGGCAGCCACGTTCCAACAAGTTTGGGGGAGGGCATGCCAAGATGGGGATGGTTATTTTAAAGGATGTGTTGCAAAAGTATATATCTGTTACTTATACTTTAATTTCTGATGCTTTCCAGAATCAGCCACAGTGATCCCAATGTTGTATTCCAAAGGAATGTTCATGATTCCACCAGTAAGGTAAATAGTTATTTATTTGTTTATTTCCACTTTGTAATTTCAGTTCCTCCTGATAGTTGTCTACAATAAAGTTAGCTTTAAATACCACTGGAAATCTTCCTAGCTCCCTCCTTTTTTTTTTTCATAGCTGCTTAAAACACTTCTGTTTGGACAGACTTTTCAGACTCATCTAGGGTTGCCAGATACATGTGTCCGAAAAGGAGGACATAGAAAGCCGAAAAGGAGGACAAAGGAGGACTATTGGGGGGGGGGGTTGGGGGGCATGTCACTTTTGGAATTAGGTATTGGGGAAAATAGCTCTTTGATCATGGGGCAAAACCATAACCGTTCAACCTACTCAGTCTTGGAAGGTCAAGCCTGGGAAAGTTACATTTTTTTGGACTTACAAAACTCAGAATCCACTGGCCACTGTGTTTTCTTGTTTTAAAAAAATGTTTAAAAGATAAAAACAAAACAAATCTACATATACACTTACTGGGCTCCCAGGACCAATGGAGACCATCTATTCCTTCCTTTAATGGAGACCCATCCCCCTTGTTTATTTATTTATTTTTTTATTTTAATAAAAGCATAATAAAG